TTCCTCAATCAATGCTTCTTAACCAAAAAGTTACATACAGCAGTCCCTGGAAGAAGGGACCAAAAAGAGTTCCATAGCCACCCAAAGACCAATGCAGCAGCTTTCATGTCTGGTGTCTGCTGTGTGTTATGTGACTACAAAAGTCTATAGCACACACTGTCATTTCCACCAGGGATTAGGGAAGTGTGACCTACAAGTCACAGGATGGAAGTGAAAATCACAGGGAAGAAAGAAACCTCATCTTCAAATTAAGCTGTATCAAGCTAAGGGTCACTTGGGACAATGCCCTGAACCACAAAAAAAAATGAATTTTCAATATGTTAGACATATATTTTATAAATAAATAAGCTATTGACAGATTTTGAAACTAAGGTTTTGATGGGGTTTTTGGTTTTCTTGTATTTCACCTGATGGGTTTCATTCTTAAACAAGAAGTTTTCTTGTCCCCTTTGTAACTAATCTGAGATACCAGGTAAGAGATGGAATCAAACCAGACAAACTAGGTCTGACTCACCTTGCTAGGTACGTGACTTTTCCTTAACTTCCCTGAGCCTCGCCGTCCTCATCTGCAGAATGCAAGAGCATTAAATGCAGGCCACTCTGAGGATTACCCAGCACACTGCAAGTACCATATGTTAACTCTGCTTTCTCCCAAATGTCCCATCGTTGTGGGTATATCTGTTTTGTGGGTCATTTTAATTTTCTGTGTTTCTCAGACTCAGGAGTTATAAACCCACCTGACTAGGAGAAGCACTAAAACTTCTCTGAAAAGGCCATTCTACCACCTGGCAAAGGTGGATGCCCAAAGCTTCCTTGCCTCTTCTTAGGAAGCCAAGTGAGGGCCAAATTTAAAAGGTAAAGCCGCGTTTCTCCACTCAGGGGGAGTTCGTGCAGGAAGGGGCCGTGTCTGCTCTGATCTGCGTAGCAATGTGTAGCTGGCCCTCTTCTGTAGGATTTCTCATCCAGGGGAGCATATCAGAAGCCCAGCGCTCCTTATCCCCATGCCCACCCACAACCGAGAACCTCTGCCCTAATCAATGCAGGCTGCTTTGTCTTCTCACACGCCTCAAAACTGATTCAACACACTGGTGAGTCACAGCATCTCCTGGGTTACACACTTGTAAACAAACACACGAAACCCAAAAAGGATACCATGCACACAGCAGGACTCTGAACCAGTGCCTTCTGGTGACCCCTCTGCCAATTTGACAAGGCTCACAGACACCTCCTCAGAAGAAAGCTTTGAAGACATAAAATACAAAGGACTGCAAAGGAAAACGATTGCATCTAAAACCTGAAAAACTCTGGGATATGAACAACAACAAAAAAGTCTGTGATATCTGATAAGTGCTTCTTTATTAAAGAATAAAAGAAATAAAAGATCTAAATAAATAAGACATATTCCATAACACAGTATTCTACAACGTTGAGCCTTCTACACGTCCATTTCACCTATAATAAAAACAGCTCTACCCAACTGTAACATGAAATAAAAGATCTATTAGCACATTTAACAACAAATGTAATTTCATGGCAGTGACGAGCAAAGGCAGTAACTCAAAGTATCTGCTTCCACTGAAGCATGACATGAAAATATCTGTGATTTCTACTGGTGACAGTATCACAGGTCCTGCCTAACACCACTGTGCCTATGTGTGTCTATGTTCATAATTAAAGGAAATGCTGCATTTCAGTTAGAAGTTAATAAAAATAAAAGTGCTATTTTTTTCCCCTTTATAAGTGCATGGAACCCCTAAATTCTCTCTACAGACCCTTTAGGGGTCGCAGGACCTCAGTGAGAGAGCTCCGCACTACAGGGTCCTGTATTTAAGAGTTAACACCTGATCATTCAACTGATAGACATTTAGGAAATAGCTATGTTGCTCTAACTACAGGAACCACAGAAGAAGATACAGAATTAAGTTAAGGCTTTGACGTAAGCATGCTCTAAGAACTTTCAGAATCTCTGCTCAATGTTTATTTTGGTTCTTTCAGTTTTATTATAAGTTGTGTTATCTACTGCCAAACTCACCAGGATTTCTTCTTTTTCCTAACTGTATAATTAAAAACAAAGCAAAGAAACAAAAAAGACACTCTCTCTCTGTTCAAATCTACTATTTGTTTGTTTGTTTGTTCGTTTGCTTGCTTGTTTTGAGATGGAGTTTCACTCTTGTTGCCCAGGCTGGAGTGCAATATTGCGATCTCGGCTCACTGCAACCTCCGCCTCTCAGGTTTAAGTGATTCTCCTGCCTCAGCCTCCCGAGTAACTGGGATTACAGGCATGTGCCACCATGTTTCTCCATGTTGGTCAGGCTGGTCTCAAACTCCCAACCTCAGGTGACTCGCCCACCTGGGCCTCCCAAAGAGCTGGGATTACAGGCGTGAACCACAGCGCCCAGCCTCAAGTCTCCTGTTAAACAAATTTTAGAAACTGTGGCTCAGTGTCATGGAGTGAACACTGAGCCTTTCACACATCCATTTCACCTATAATAAAACCAGCCCTACCCAACTGCAGGCGTTTTACAGGAATGAAATGAGGCAATTTGTGCCAATGTTCTCTGAAAATTGTGTAGTGTTGCCCATGGATGGTCTTCCAATTACACTGTAAATGTCAGTGATTAATCAAAGTGTGAATGGTGCCAAGTGCAGCGGCTCATACCTGATTTCCTAGCACTTTGGGAGGCTGAAGCAGGAGGACTGTTTGAGGCCTAGAGTTTGACACCAGCCTGGGCAACATAGGGGGACCCCATCTCTCAAAAAAAAAAAAAAAATTAAAAATTAGCTGGGCTTGGTGGTACATACATATAGTCCTAGCTACTCAGGAAGCTGAGGTGGGAAGGTTGCTTGAGGCCAGGAAGTCAAAGCTGCAGTAAGCCATATGTGTACCACTGCACCCCAGCCTGGGCAACAGAGCAAAACCCTGCCTCCAAAAAAAAAAAAAAGTTGCCGGGCACGGTGGCTCATGCCTGTAATCCCAGCACTTTGGGAGGCCAAGGCAGGTGGATCACGAGGTCAGGAGATCAAGACCATCCTGGCTCACATGGTGAAACCCTGTCTCTACTAAAAATACAAAAAAAAAAAAATTAGCCGGGTGTGGTGGCAGGCGCCTGTAATCCCAGCTACTTGGGAGGCAGAGGCAGAAGAATGGCCTGAACCCAGGAGGCGGAGCTTGCAGTGAGCAGAGATCGCGCCACTGCCGTCCAGCCTGGGCGACAGAGCGAGACTCCATCTCAAAAAAGAAAAAAAAGAAAAAAAAACTGTATGAGTGGGACCCAGGAGCCTCCTGTGACAGAAATGGCCATGATAGGTACTGCAGGATCACAAGAGGGTCTCCTAAGGAAAGGTAAGTAACACAGAGAGGCCCAAAAAATAATTCTGTTACAAACTCTATTGTTCTCTTGTGAATTTTTTTTTTTTTTTTGCAGACATCTACAGTCTGAAAAAAGCAAATACAAAATCTACCAAGGAGGTTACTGCAGACTCGGTTTTCCACACGATACCACATATCTCCTTGGTGGTACAGACGTCATGAATCAACAAAATGACTTGCCAGGAGCCTCCTATATGCTACAAGACACACTAGAAATTCTAAAGCTTCAACTTCAAGTACAAGTCTAACATGCTTCACAACTACCCTGGTGTGGATTATTCTATTATCATCCCTACTGAAATTGATTATCTGCAGTATTCACAAAGACTCTGTAGGGTTTATGGGTCAATGTAAGCAACACTTTTTTCTTATTAATATCGAATAAAGAGAACCTGAAAACATCCCTAGACACGCCCTAAAGGAGAAACTTGTGGTACCAAACCAACTTGTTTATTATAAATAATCTCACAAATTCAAGAATATTGGAGAGATCAGCCTGTATTAGTGAAAATAATTATAAGAAATTTTTAGAGATGAGACATAAGCTGGTTTTGAACCAAATTATCTGCAGGTAGAAGGACTGGTATCCTTTTTTTTAAGTGACACAGTGATAGATATATAAATTATTGGCTGCCATAAGTTTTTAAAGAGTGAAATTACTTCTAAAATGGCACATTTTGAATAAACATCAGAATCATAAAGTATTCATTTTTAAAATTATCCTTTTTTTTTTTTTTACAAGTGTGCAATATCAAGTTTCACACCCTGGCCATCATGACCACACTGAAAACACTCACCTAGTTTACTGCTCACCCTACCAGGTATCCGCTCTGCAGCCCATCAGCATGACTGGTTTGCTGCTGCAGCGGTATTTGGACTCTCCAAATAACCAGCTTAGTGAGCTTTCACATGAGAGTTATCAGGCTTGGTATACATGTTTTGCTATGTCACATAAATGAGCAGCCTGGATGTTCCCAATATCTTTGGTTTTAAATTTAGACAAACTCCTTCCCAGTGAGTTTCTAAGGACTTGTGGTACTTTTGCTAAGAAACAGAAATAGGAACATTTTCAAATTCTTCTGTACAGTCAAAAAAAAAAAAAAGTTGGCTCCCACCTATAATCCCAGCACTTTGGGAGGCCAAGGTGGGTGGCTTAAGGTCAGGAGTGGCCAGCTTGGTCAGTGTGGACAACATGGTAAAGCCCCATCTCTACTAAAAATACAAAAATTGGCCGGGCATGGTGGTGTGTGCCTGTAGCCCCAGCTACTTGGGAGGCTGAGGCAGGAGAATCATTTGAACCCAGGAGGCAGAGGTTGCAGTGAGCCGAGATAGCACCATTGCACTCCAGCCTGGGCAAGACAGCCAGACTCCATCACAAAAAATAAATAAATAAAAAGTTGGTTCAAATGAAAATCTTAACTTGATCCTCACTCCTCTAAAATTTCTATTCAGAACATTTAAAATTGGGACATTTTATGTGGTTAACCCCTACAGTCGCATTTCTTTGACCACCTTTCCAAAGGTGGCAAGCCATAGCACAGGGTAGCCAGTACAAGATCTTATTTGGGGCCATGGCTAAGAAGAACTGGTCATGATACTGCCATCACAACACACATGGGCAACTACTTACGGAAGTATTTTAGCGTCTCTTCAATTTGCTCAGTTGTGAGGTCAATGTTGGCATCTGGAGAAATGAGAGGTGTATGGAGCCAGTCGTCGTGGTCATAACCGTAGATGGTGTCGGCTCTTAACTTATAATGGGGCAGCTGCTCCTCCAGTAGGCTAATGATCTCAACTTCCGGAAGATCGGTGCTGTTGCACACATCTAAAGACAAGACAACCAAGAAATGAGAGCCCAGAAATGGTTATGGCCTTGCTGCTAGTTAACTAAACTTGTAGCCTGCAGCAGCCATCTTTGGTTATTTATCTACAGCACAAAGAAGCCAGACAAGCCTACGTCAGGAGTCTTTTTCCAATTTAAATTATATTCTCAAAACTTTGAATTAATTGTGTATGCTTACGGCCAAGACCTACCCAAATGTTTCCTGCTGTTTAGTGTACACTATTTAGGAAGAAAAGCCAAAGGTTTTGAGCTTTTATCATCTGAGTTAAGTCTTTCCACTATTTAGGAAGAAAAGCCAAAGTTTTTGAGCTTTTATCATCTGAGTTAAGTCTTTCCTCCAACCCTTTCTCTGGCCATTCTCCTTCAAGTGTTCTACATGTCTGCCAAACTGGTATTAATTTCACCAATATGCCTAACTTCTTCTTGCCACTCTTTTACCATTCAAACTATCCTCCCATCTAGAATTTTGCCTTCATTTAATTTATTCATTCATCTGTTCATTCATCCACACTTCCTTCCTTCCATCCACGCATCCATTTGTATCCTGAGTACCAGGGGCACAGGAGACACAGTGGTGAACAGAAGAGTCATGGTCCTGCCCTTGAAACACTTATATCCTTATAGGGCATCCAGCGATTATACCGATAGGCGCCCATCCTTTAAGGAATACCTTGAATACCACCTGACATACTGGTGTTTTGAGCACACCAAGCAGAATTAGTCTCTCTTACCCTTTCTACACTGACATGCCATTTTGTCAGAACTTCAGTTACTAGACTTATTAAGTGTCTTGTGGGTATTTCAGTATCTGACTCATCTAGTTAGGAGAGGGCAAACTTCCATACACAGCTACCCTTGATCCACCACCTGTACACCATAGCTCTTGGCCCAGGCTGTGCTCAGGGGGTGCATACTAATGCCTGTGACGGAGAACCAATTCACACAAAGCACATTAATGCAGGCCTTTAAACTGCAAACATGACAACATGGCAAACATAACCAGGACATGTACCTTACTTCTCTATCCCAGCGCTTACTCATCGAAGGAGAACACAGACACTGAATTAAATAAGTGCTAATGGGTGAGTGATCATTATCTATCAACTAATTCTGGCATCATCCACTGTATCAGCCCATTGTGCATAAGGCATTTGACACTTATGATGGGAAACAGCCCATGGGAGCAGCAGTGGTCCCGTCAACCCATAAACAAACCAAGTGCTTGTGGTGCACACAACTAGACAGGACAGGAGACTTAACTTGGTATTTTGTTCTAGGAATGAGTCTTCAACAAAGAAAAATTATTCAAAAGATAAGAATATTACTGAGGTTGTTTCTTATTTTTTTTTAAGACAGTGTCTCACTCTGTTGCCCAGGCTGGAATGCAGTGGCACAATCTTGGCTCACTGCAGCCTTGACCTCCTAGCCTCAAGCATTCCTCCCACTTTGGCCTCCCGAGTAGCCAGGACCACTGATGTGCACCACCAAGCCCAGCTAATTTTATTTTTTGTAGAGACAAGGTCTCCCTATGTTGTCCAGGTGGGTCTTGAACTCCTGGGCTCACGCAATCCTCCTGCCTTGGCCCCCCAGTGTGCTGGGATTACAGGCATGAGAAATCTTGCTGGGCCTGAGGTCAATTCTTATCAAAGTCACAGTACCATGTTGCTGCTTTGAAATAGAAAACAAAAATGAGAACCTGGATCAAGTGGAGGACCAAACTCACTCTTCGGTCTCCATCCCTCTCCAAGATATTAGAAGGGGCAGAGAAGAGGGGGAAAAAAATTACTTGTGACAAATAAAACCACACAACAGCATGGGAACATAAAGACGAGATGCTGAGGACGAACCAAAAGTATGAGGTATTCCTAAATATGGTAAGATCAAATTAAAGGAGAAAGGCCCAGTCTTACATATGAGCATTCATTCACACATACGTACATGTCTACACACGCACAGGAAATGACTGGTGCAGTCAGTAGGAGTAGATCCTGGGGTGCTCCACACGGGAGGCTACTGTCAGAAGGAGCAGGAAGGGCCAGGGGCAGGGATTCACTGCAGAACCAAAGCAGGAACAGCAGAGAGGACCAGTCCCTTCCCTGTTCCCCCTGCTTGAGCCAAGGCCAGGAAGGCAGCAAGGCAGTAACTGTGGGGGCTGTACACACTCAGGTAGAACATGGAACACCTCTGCCTGGAAGAAGAGCAATGCCAGAGACTTTGTGTCAAATAAGAAGGCCACTCAACAGGTGAAAAAATTATGGATTTGTGAGAAAAGAGAGCGTAATGACTCATGACCCTTTGGGCAGGAGCCCACTGAAAACACCTGTCAGCACCCACCTACCTCCTGCAGCTTCCTACCATTCCATACTAACAGCTCTCCCTCAATTCAATACGCAAACCTTCGCCATAGAGCATTTCCACTCAGGGAGTTGGCATGGTTTTCCAAAATGCCAAGGAAAGGGTTAAAAATGAGAAAGTGAGGACATTTAGAATTTTACTTGGTGCTTTAAAAAAGCAGTTCAGTCCTGGAGGGCGGACTACATCTCACTGCTGGGACTTCTCTGCCTCATGAGGGAAATGTCACAGCAAGTACACTTGGTATTTCAGCCAGCCAAAAACAAGACCAGACCTGCTCCGTCACTTTGCAAAGCTCTGCTGGGAACAGAAGTTACGTCCTCCCCCAGGTAGAGCAATAGCCCAACCTCAAGGCGGAAGATTTCTCATATTTCTTCCCATCTCCCACTAGCAATAAACCACCATTCAAAGGCTCAAGATGGGCCCGTAATAGGCAAATATTTCCTCTTCTCACTATCAAGTAAAGAGTGAGTTCCCATGAAGTTCATCTCTGGGAAAGAACTCACAGTCATAAAACGCCACCATGTGTGTTGGGAGCAAGCCTCCAAAATCTGGCCATAAACTGGCCCCAAAACTGGCC